AGAAGTTATTTTATTACACTATTAATCTATATGTGTTTTCATGCCTTTCTTCCCGCAGCCTGTAATTGTAACGGTTATGCTGATAAATGTTTCTTCGATGCTCATCTCTTCAACATGACCGGTCATGGTGGTCACTGTTTGGATTGTCGTGACAATCGTGATGGTCCCAATTGTGAACGTTGTAAGGAGAACTTCTATATGCGCGAAGATAGTTATTGTATTCATTGTGGTTGTGATCCTGTCGGTTCGCGTTCACTACAATGTAACAGCCAAGGCAAGTGTCAATGTAAACCTGGTGTTACCGGCGATAAATGTGATCGTTGTGAAGCAAATTACTATCAATTCGGTCCACATGGTTGCCAGCCTTGCGGTTGTGATCCTCGTGGTTCGTTTGGTAATATGCCTTCTTGTGATCCCGAGACGGGTATATGTCATTGTAAAGATAATGTGGAGGGAAAACGTTGTAACGAGTAAGTTGTTGTTGGAATATAAAGGAAATATTGCCAGTTCTTAATGAACAATTTTAATTACAGATGTAAACCCGGCTTCTTTAATTTGGACATGACTAATCGTTTTGGTTGCACACCCTGTTTCTGTTATGGTCACACTTCTGAGTGTCAAACGGCCCCTGGTTATTCCGTAGTTTCTACTACTTCCAATTTCAATAAACATAAAGAACGTTGGAGTGCTGTAGATTTGTATGCCCAAGATATCGACATTAAGTATAACCAATATAGTCACAGTATTGGTACTACCGCCCATGGCAATGATTATGTGTATTTCCAAGCCCCCGAACGTTTCTTGGGTGATCAAAGAGCTTCTTATAATCGTGATTTGAAATTCAAATTGCAATTGGTGGGTCAAATTGCTCCTAGCACTAGTGCCAGTGATATTATTTTGGAAGGTGCTGGCACTAAAATTTCATTACCCATTTTCGCCCAAGGCAATGGTATGCCCGATAATGATGTTAAGGAATATACTTTCCGTCTGCATGAACATCGTGACTATCAGTGGCAACCTAGTCAATCGGCCAGAGGTTTCCTGTCTATACTTTCCAATTTGACTGCCATTAAGATTCGTGGTACTTACTCGAAACAAGGAGAGGCCATTTTGGATGATGTTGAATTGCAAACAGCTCATAGAGGTGCTGCTGGTCATCCTGCTACCTGGATTGAACAATGTACTTGCCCCGAAGGTTATTTGGGTCAGTTCTGTGAATCTTGTGCTCCTGGTTATCGCCATAGTCCAGCCCGGGGTGGTCCATTTATGCCTTGTATTCCTTGTGATTGTAATGGTCATGCTGAAATTTGTGACTCTGAAACTGGTCGTTGTATCTGTCAACACAATACCACTGGTGATAACTGTGACCAGTGTGCCAAGGGTTATTATGGTAATGCTTTGGGTGGTACTCCTTACGACTGCAAACGTTGTCCTTGTCCCAATGATGGTGCCTGTATGCAAATCAATGGTGACACAGTCATCTGTACCGAGTGTCCTGTCGGTTACTTTGGAGCCCGTTGTGAACAATGTTCGGATGGTTTCTATGGTGATCCTACCGGTTTATATGGTGAAGTACAAACCTGTAAATCTTGTGACTGTAACGGCAATGTAGATCCTAATGCTGTGGGTAACTGCAACCGTACATCTGGCGAATGTTTGAAATGTATCCACAACACTGCTGGCAAATATTGTGATGAATGTTTACCTGGTCATTTCGGTGATCCTCTGGCCTTGCCACATGGTCAATGTGATCGTTGCAGTTGTTATCCTCCTGGTACAGAACAAAATAATGATGGTATTTCCCAGTGTGACCAAGTTACTGGCCAATGCCATTGTAAACCCAGTGTTATTGGACGCGATTGTGGTGAATGTCAGCCGGGTTATTTCAATATCATGTCTGGTAATGGTTGTGAGAACTGTATGTGCGATCCTATTGGTTCGTATAACTCCACTTGTGATCGTTCTTCGGGTCAATGTTTCTGCAAACCTGGAGTTGTGGGCTTGCACTGTGATCAATGCGATGTTTATCATTATGGCTTCTCCTCCGAAGGCTGCAAACCTTGTGAATGTGATGAAAGTGGTTCAAAGGGCTTCCAGTGCGATCAAAATGGTCAGTGTCCTTGTAATGACAATGTGGAAGGTAGACGTTGTGATCGTTGTAAGGAAAACAAATACGATCGTCATTTAGGCTGTATCGACTGTCCCGATTGTTACAATCTAGTGCAAGATGCCGCCAATGAACACAGAGCTAAATTGAAGAATTTAAGCTCCACTTTGGATGAAATTGCTCGTACGCCGGTCACCAATGATGGTGAATTTGAGGCCAAATTGAAGAGTGTTCAAGAGAAGGTAGATATTTTGTTAAATGATGCCAAATATGGAGCTGGTGATAGTGGCAAAACTTATGTTGAAGTTTTAAATGAATTGCACAAACGTTTGGAAAGCATTAACAGCCATTTGGATAGCGCTGATGCTCTACAGGACTCAGCCAATGAAGAGATTGAAAAAGCTAAACACAATCACACCATTGCCCAAGATATTATACAATCGGCCAAGACTGATCTGAAAAATGCTTTGGACTTGTTGCACGATGAAGGTGAACAGGCTTTGGCTAAAGCTCAAAACAAATCCGTTGAATTTGGCGTACAGTCCGATCAAATTTCCGATATTTCACGCGAAGCCAGAGCTTTGGCCGATCGTTTGGAATCGGAGGCTCAATTTGATTTGAAAAATGCCAAGGACGCCAATGATGCTGTGGAAAAGGCCTATGAATTGGCCAAAAGTGCCATTAATTTGCAACAGAAAGTAAGCGATGAATTAAGAACTGAAGTACGTTTGGAATTGGATACTGTTAAACAGGGTTTGGGTACCGCTACCCAAACTACCAAGGAAGCTTTACGCAAAGCCAATGAAGTTTATGATGCTGCCTTGAGTTTGTTGAATGATGTTTCTGGTTTAAGTGCACCTGAAATCGATATTAAGAAATTCAAGGAAGAAGCTTTAGAAGCCAACAAACAAGCCGATGAGCTTTTGCAACAGGTCAATGACATTTCTAATAGTAATGGTGATCTTTTCGAAAACTTTGAACAAGAAATAAGTTTGGCTGATGTTATGTTAGAAAGGTAAGTCGTTTGCCAAAGTTAAAGATCAAAAATTGCTAATGATTTTATATGATATTTTAGAGCCAATCAACAAAAATTGGATGATATTGATTTGTTAAAGAGAGCTCAAGATGCTTTTGATAAGGCTACCAAGGCCGTGGAACAAGGCGACAATACTTTGAAGGAGGCTAATAATACCTATCACACTTTGGCCGGTAAGTTTAAAGATTCTAAAGAAATTAGGAAGTGTTCCGTTATTTAATGTTTAATTTTTCAAAGGTTTTCAATCGGATGTACAAAAATCTTCCGAAAAGGCAGATTTAGCCTTACAAACTGTACCCAGCATTGAGCAGGAAATAGAAAAGGCTGAAAATCTAATTAGACAAGCCGAAGAAGCTTTGGATGGAGCCAATAAGAATGCCAACGAAGCCAAAATGAATGCCCAAGAGGCACAACAAAAATATGCCGAACAAGCTTCTAAGGTAAATGAGATTTAGGGGAAAGTAAATTAGGTTTTATTAATTATATATTTTTTATACAACAGGATGCTGAATTTATACGCAAACGCGCCAATGAAACTAAGGTCAGTGCCCGCAAATTGAGAGACGAAGCCGATCAATTAAATCATCGTGTTAAAGTAACCGAAATCGATATTGGTAAACTCGAAGAATCTTCTAGTAAAGATGATAATTTAGTAGATGATGCCAAACGCAAGGTTTGTAATTTTTTTTCTTTCTTGGGAAATTGAAATTGAATAACAACATTTAAATTTATATTGCAGGTGGGTCAAGCTAAGGCCGATACCGAAGAAGCTAAAAAACAAATCGACAAAGCTGTCAATGAACTGGATGATATTAAGGAAGAATTAATTAATCTTAAAGACATTAACACAGCTGATTTAGATAAACTAGGTGAGTTAGAAATATTTATATAAATTAAATTTCGTTATTTATTTTCTTTTTTTATTTATCAGAAAAACGTTTGGATGCCGTTGAATTGGATGTGAATCGTGCCAATTTAACTGGTCGCATTGAGAAATTCCGGGAAATGCGCAATATACAAAAGAAAACTGTAGAAAAATACGAAAAAGAACTAATGGAACTGCAACAAGAAGTTCTCAATGTTCGTTTAATATCCGAAGCTTTGCCTGCCAATTGTTTCTCCAGAAGTAGACTAGAACCTTAAAGTGTATAATGGCCATAGCACTAACCACACTAATACTACCAATTACCACCTATAAAATAAAACATCAGAACAATTTCAAATGCAATTTTGTTAAAAAGCCAGAACAAACATTTTATTTTTAGGTTAAACATAAACTAATAACAACAAATATAATCATAATAATTCTTATTTAGTTAAAATCATTATTAAGCTTTATTAAGAAATAGTAACTAGAGAGAAAAGAAAACAAACAAACAAACAACAACAAAGTGCCTTAAGATAAGGAATCTATGTAAATCCTTGCAACAAACAAACTTTAAACTAACTGCCCTTTTTTTATATAGAATTTTTTGCTTCTCATTTATAGTTTTCCTGTTATTAATGTAAACATTCATTGTATTAATGATATAAATCATATGAAACGATACTTTCTATTCGAATAATAATTAAATTTAATTTAAGTTTAATTTCAAGCATTTTCTACTTTATTATTTTCGTTAATTACACTACAATTCTAAAACTGCAACACAGTATTTCTTTTACGAAATACTTTTTTTTAGCATGAAACAATGTACATCTGTGTGTGTGTCATTTCGTTTTTTTTTTGTAATGTACGTTTATGTGCCAATATTTAAATTTAAATAATTCGTTAAATTTCTTGAAAATTTCAAAATGAAATTTTTAAAGAAATTTCTCGTTTAAGTATAAAAAAAGATTTTTTTTTTAAATAAATTTTTTTGATGTATTTTTGAAACTTTGTGTAAAATTTATTTCGAATTGTACTTGATCTGCTACCATATATTGCTTATTCACTGTTGAATTCACGCAGCAGCAGACAATAGGAAAAACTGGAACGCATAATCTAAAATAGTTATGGATATAACATTAGATGTTTGCTTAGTTTCGATTTCTACTAAACTTACTCCCAACAGTGTAACCAGAGACATTGTGGTGAAGCCCCCCACTTGTATTGCCAACGTGCGATTGGTTCTCATTAGCATCATGCGTATAATGAATTTGAATTCAGTATTTTCGTCATACCATTTACAGTTATAAAGAGCCACTGGCAGTCGTTCACTCTATAATAAGGAATAAAGACATTTAAAAGATAAAAATTTGATTCGAAGAGGGTTTGCAGAACAACAAAAAATGGAAAAAAATTATCGATCCAGAATTGTGTATTCTTCGTTAACTATGCCTAATATATTCTTTCGAGTGAGTGCCTTTAAAAGAATTTTGGCGGATCTCAGCATAAATAAGTCTCCTGGACCTGATGGCATACCGGTCATGAAGCAGTGCTCTTCGATGCTAGCTCGTCCATTAGCTAATCTTTTCAGCATCCTATATCATGCCGGAAAATTTCCTACATGCTGGAAGATTGCTAATGTCGCGCCAATTCTTAAAAAGGGAGAGGCTAATAACCCTGAAAATTATCGCTCAATTGCAATTTGTTCTGCACTTTCTAAAGTTATGGAAAGTATGTTTAATTTTCATCTTGTCAAATATCTAGAGACCAACAATTTACTTAATGGTGTCATTCCATTCACCATTTTGGTGAAAGTAAAGTGGTGGCTCTAGATATTTCCAAGGTGTTTGATAGAGTGTGGCGTGGTGCAATTATATCAAAACTTATTGCATTTGGTGTCGGTAATAACTTCAATCGATTTCTTTCGAGCTTTTTCAGAGATCGCATTATACGAGTTATTATAGATGGGATCTCGTCAAACGGGTTCAAGATTAATACAGGGGTACCGCAAGGCTCCGTTCTTTCTCCTAGCCTATTTTTTATTTTCATAAATGACCTTCTATGTCAAACTTCCAACTCTATATACTCATTTGCCGATGACAGCGATATCTGCTTATCTATCCTGCCTCCTACAACCTTTTTTACTAGTTCCACCACAATACACTACATAACTAAAATGTTTGATTTAGAATAGAATAAGCCCGATAGTCTTTGAATCCTATAAGGATTCCGAATGTATACAATTTTGTAGGTCTTCTTCCAATAAGTAGAAATGTATCTACGGAATGAAATAATCGTTATACGTTTTATATTTTTGTAATTTCTTACCTCCGATGTTAAACGTTGACCATTAAAGCAAAACATAGAAACCTCAAAACCAGCTGCAGAAAAATAAAGAACCATTTTTATGACAACATCAACATCGGATCCCTTGGATAAAAATAAATAAATTAGTTATAAAAGAAGTAGGAGTGCTATAGTAGGCTACATCGGATCTTATATACCCACCATCAAAAAATTAAGTGAAATTTGGAAACTAGGTCGTTATTAATCGATCCTTTTATATCTAATAACCATGAGTTAGTGATTTATTGGATTTATTATTTAGGTATAGTGCCTTTAATTGGGCCTTGGGTCTGAATTTGAAAGAGAGATTAATTTCTAAAACCTCTAGGTCCGGCTGATAGAAATTTTTATACTCTATCAACCTACCAGGTCTGTTATACGTGCTCTTTTACATGGAAAATATTTGAGGGAAATTCGTTATATAATGATAATAATGAAAAGTATTATCGTCCGATACTCAGAATAGTCCCTTCAATGGGGGCTTGGGACAAAGAGTGATTAATTTCTCAAATTAAGGGTCTCTTCCTCTAGAAATATGTATTTATGTATACTCTATCAACCTATTGGATCTGATATGAGCTTTTTTACATAAAAATATTGGTGGGAAAACCCTTACATAAGCTCAGATACTTAGTTTCCTGGACGTAATTCCTACGACTTTTCTAATCAGTGGTCGTGAACAATGTTATATTCGGAATAATTTCGTTCCCAAGATATTTGACAATACCTGGGAGGTCACTTATAGGTGACTAGGAGATATCATGAACATCATCCAGTGTGGGCCCTATCGTGTTTTTAGAGACAGACAGACATGAAATGCCAGGATCTGATAAGGACCCAGAATATATGTACTCCTGAATGACAAAAATCAATATCCCAATTGTTTTAATGATGGATATACAAACATTTTAAAGCGATATTGATACCAACCAGACCAACACTGCCCTGAAATATTAACAAACATATGACCAGCATACTACAAAGAAACAGGGGAGCACTCTGAATATAATACAAAGAATTAATCTCGTAAAAATATCTGTAAAGCAAAATAAGTTGATCAAAATATTCCTAATAAATATCCATTACACACTCATATATACGTTGATGCAACTTAGCCCAGGCCAATATATATTTAACACGTTCTTGCGGCAAAACATCCTCAGTTGTCGAATAGACAACAAGTCGGCGTAGAATTTTCAATAAAGCCAAAGTATGCAAAGAGGTGACAATATAAAGACCGGCAAAACTTACAGCAGCTGTGAAAAGGCGTACAAAAAACAATATTAAATATTGTTAATTGAGATATTATTATATACTCACACATTCCCGATATATGGGTCTCAGAGCCACTTATTATGTAGGTTATAAAATAGTAAGGAAATTGTATACCTTTATCACGCCACATGGGAAAAGCGCCTTGAAATGCTTTTATATAGAAAAAAATTGCTTTATATATCGTTAATTTATAATATATAATATTAAAAACTTACGATATAATAATTCAAATTCCGTGGGACTGTCATAGGTATACGTATTGTAGATATTGACAGCTAAACAACTAAAATAATACCAACCCACGATGCCAAATACACTGATAATATAAAAATTTAATTGACGTTTTATATCTAGCCACGAATCGTGAAGTATGCCTTGAATCTCTTCGGTTATATGCTTTTTGTTGAAGATATCTAGGGTAGCGAAATGGAAAATTATGAACATTGGATCGGATTCTTTAAATGATGTAAAAAATAATAGCATAAAACTATTGCGGACTCTAAAATAACTTTCTGATCACTATCTAGGAAATTAAAGTCCGGCGCAAATGATTTTCGGAAGAGTTTTACAAAAATTAATACTGTTGAGTGTTGGGGTCGTCTCCAGTCATTGGAGTATATAATAATATAAATCTGCCACCTATCTATCTATAGCCTGTTCTGTAACTATGATATCATATACATATAGTCTTAACTATAGTCTGGTTTACAATTGAGACTATAGTCTTCTGTATACTACTATAGTTTCATTTGGAGTCTGATCTTTATTCTTAATTATAGTTTGGCAAATAATTGGTATCTAGCCAATAGACTCGACCAATACTTAGTCTTGACTGTAGACAATCAGGTCATGACTGTAGTCAATCTGTTCTCTATTTCTGGTTGTAGTCCTGACTTGACTGGCTCCCAGACTTGTAAGTGTTTTACAACCATTAAACAGATTCGAAACAACCGTTTGCACTCTACTACAAAGTAAGTTGGACATCAGACGATATTTCATTTTAGACCCTATATACATAGATAGATCCAATATGTTTATGTCACCTTAGTCATGTAATCATGATTTCTTGGGAAAATTAATCTAATAAATATAAGTCGTACTTAGTTCAAATATTTCAAAGTTTTGTAAAATTTCCGTATTCTGAGCCATTTTTACCAATTTTTCAAATTTATGTTGGGTAAAAGCGAAATGAAACAATTTGCTGATCGAAATCCATGTTTGAAAAGAGGTACAGATGGCCTGTAATTAAAACTATATTAATATTGGTACAAAAATTAAATATATTTAAATTCAATAACTTACATCTGTATATGTCAGCAAAGATTTGGAACGATTCTCCCAAATGAAATAATATTGACCACCCAGGCCCAGTATAGATAATATGACCAGGGTCAAGCTTATTCTTTAAACAAAAGATAACAAGAAGTGTAACTTAAATTAAAAACTACTCCAGAATTGCAAAATTTTTATTTTTATATGAATTACCAGTTATATCAAAGATCTACATAAGGGTAAAAAGTAATAAATTTTCTATATCTAAGCAAATTTTTAAACTCATTCCTTTCGGCATTTAATGCAACGATCTATATAAGATTTCTGTATTATCTTATATTGATACAAACATCCGAACAATTTTCGGATGAGGGACATTTATTGAGATTTGAGTCAATTATGGATCGGACTTTACAGGATATGATCGATTGATTAATAAATCAATAACAAATTCGAAGAAATCATTTAGTTAATTTTATTATTATATTTATCATCCTTTTAAGACGATGTTTCACAATAAACTGATTTTGTGTAAGAGGATTTATATGGGGTCAATTATGGACAGATATTTTAAAGAGAAATTTTAGTTCTTAAAAACCTGTTTATGGCCCGATTTTCGTCACATTTACAGTGAAAATCTCCATATAGTCGTAGTTGGGCGGGGTAAATATATTTCCCAACTTGTTCTATAAATATATTTACATTATGTTTCCTTTATAAATCGTATGAGACACTTACAACTTTACTGGATCTTTAAATGATGTTGCGTATTTAATATTACAACCAATTGACATTGAAATCCATACCAAAGGTTTAATTATTTCCTTATTCTTCAAACTTTTTTTAAGCAAAATTTTATTTAGATCTTCTGACATTTTTGAAGAATTTTTGGACACTAACTGTTATCCTTTTGTTGCTATTATTAAGGTTTTATATTAAACAAATAGTATAATATTTTAGGCAAATAAAAAATAATTTATGGTTTTTATGTAAACGCCCCATAAATTTGTAAAATAATATCCCTATTTAATCGATTAAATGCATAATTGATCAAGTTTATAGCAGAAAACCAAAATAATAGTTAGTATTAGGGATGTTTTCAAAACATTATATCGTATAGAAAAATTGTTGGAATAAATTGTATCGCATCTGGACATGTGAGGTGTTTAAGTGTCCTTAGTCTGGAACCAACGAAGTTAGCATTCCATCCAGAAGCAATTGGCTGAGGGGTTTCATAGCAAACAAGTTTAACTCCAGATAAATCGAAAATGAAATGCGGTGTTGGGATAAGAATCGCTCATCGTCTGCCGAATGACTGTAGTGTTATTCATGCTGAGATATTTGCAATAATGACAACCTGCAAGATTCTATATGATCTCAACATTCATAGAAATATTGAAATTTCATTCGGTGTTTATATAATTAAATTCGGTGTTTATATAATTAAATTCCTATATTACCACATCCCATATAGTGTGAACCTCTTTCGATGAAAGTAACTTATAACCCGAAATAGGCAAAGATCCAGAGATTGTTTAGTTAGTTAGTTAGTTAGATAGTTAGTTAGTTAGTTAGTTAGTTAGTTAGTTTGTTAGTTAGTTAGTTAGTTAGTTAGTTAGTTAGTTAGTTAGTTAGTTAGTTAGTTAGTTAGTTAGTTAGTTAGTTAGTTAGTTAGTTAGTTAGTTAGTAGTTAGTTAGTTAGTTAGTTAGTTAGTTAGTTAGTTAGTTAGTTAGTTAGTTAGTTAGTTAGTTAGTTAGTTAGTTAGTTAGTTAGTTAGTTAGTTAGTTAGTTAGTTAGTTAGTTAGTTAGTTAGTTAGTTAGTTAGTTAGTTAGTTAGTTAGTTAGTTAGTTAGTTAGTTAGTTAGTTAGTAGTTAGTTAGTTAGTTAGTTAGTTAGTTAGTTAGTAGTTAGTTAGTTAGTTAGTTAGTTAGTTAGTTAGTTAGTTAGTTAGTTAGTTAGTTAGTTAGTTAGTTAGTTAGTTAGTTAGTTAGTTAGTTAGTTAGTTAGTTAGTTAGTTAGTTAGTTAGTTAGTTAGTTAGTTAGTTAGTTAGTTAGATTAGTTAGTTAGTTAGTTAGTTAGTTAGTTCGTTAGTTAGTGAGTTAGTTAGTTAGTTAGTTAGTTAGTTAGTTAGTTAGTTAGTTATTAGTTTAGTTAGTTAGTTAGTTAGTTAGTTGTTCGGTTAGTTAGTTAGTTAGTTAGTTAGTTAAGTTAGTTAGTTAGTTAGTTAGTTTCGTTAGTTAGTTAGTTAGTTAGTTAGTTAGTTTCGTTAGTTAGTTAGTAGAGTTAGTTAGTTAGTAGTTAGTTAGTTAGTTAGTTAGTTAGTTAGTTAGTTAGTTAGTTATTAGTTAGTTAGTTAGTTAGGTCGTTAGTTAGTTAGTTAGTTAGTTAGTTAGTTAGTTTCGTTAGTTAGTTAGTTAGTTAGTTAGTTAGTTAGTTAAGTTAGTTGTTAGTTAGTTAGTTAGTTAGTAGTTAGTTAGGTAGTAGTTAGATGTTCATATATACATCAGAAGAAATACACCTAGGCCTATCTGCAAGATATGTATCTACAAGTGTGCTCGATCTAACATGCGCCCATGCGGACCACCTGAGTTCCTATTTCTCTGTGGGTTATTCGTCTATCATATACGATACCGTGGCCTGAAGATCAATCTGTTAATTTCGTTATGGTTATCAAATTAATTTACCAAAAACTTAGTATCCAAAACTCTTATATGAATTAGATAATGTGTCGTCAGATTTGGGATAGGGAATCAATAGAGTTGAGAAGACATTTCAGACTGAAAAACAGTACATAAGGAAAACAATTAACATTAAAAAATATGATAAATTTTTTAAAGTAGAATTTTGTTTTTTAGTTACAACCCAGCAAAAAATAAAATTAAGATAAAAGAAAAATGTACAGGAAAGTTATGCATTCTTTTAGTAATGTATGTACATTCTTTTAGTAATAATTTCTAGTCACCCATTCCTTGCAAAGGTTTTGTTTATACACTTGAAGTGCCATTCCTTTCGAAATACTTGACAATGATTTCTTTATTAGGAAAGAAGAGCGTGAGAATCATCAGTATTTAATGACATTTAGCATTTTTTTAACATTTGTAGTCTTTAATTAAACAATTTTTGAATATGTTAAAATTGTCTATAAAAAGTTTAATATTTTTTTAAAACCGTTTAAAATAACACAAAATTTCAAGGAATATAGTACAACTTAAATTAAAGTTTACAGTTCAAAAGTTTTTACAAAATGTCTCAGATGCTAAAGGACATTTTAAAATCACAAGAAATTGTTAATGAACAAATATTAAGTACCTTTTATAAAATCTCATTTATGACTGGCGTGAATATTAAATACAAGACTGGCTTTAAAGATCCCATTAAATTGTAAGTCAAATTAAAGATAAATTTAGCAACTAGGTTATTTAAGTGGAAATAACTATTTTATAGTGTCAATGCTTTGCTGGTACTAATATCCTTGGTGGGTCTATGTGCCCAATACTGTTTGGTTTGGCATAATCGTAATGAACCATTTGTAGAATCAGCCGATGTGAGTGCTCCAGAAATCCTAAACAATGTAGTATATATAAAATTAATACAACATCGTTGCAGGCTATTTGTACAGCGAATCAAGCTTGGATTTCGATATTAAAATTAATTTATTTGGTATTTGTGCAGCATGAATTCTACGATCTATTGCATACTGCCACCGATGGTACTTTACTATATGAATTGGGTATTTTCGATTTGGGTAATTATTAATATATAATTTTCTAATAACCTTGAATCTTATAAACATATGTATGTATACCAATTAGCCATAAATTGCAAACAACAACTTCTGCAAGAAATTAAGGAGATTTTGACCGATTCTTGGGTGCACATTAAGCATCAATTGAATTTCTTTACATTTTCGTGCATGATGGCTTGCGGATTTTATATGTTCTCCTGTATATTTGCCAATTACTATTACACCCACATACAACCGCAAAATTTCACTCTACAATTACGTAAGTTTGTATGAAGACATTTAGCATTTTTTCTTATAATTGGGGTTACTTTTGTGAAATTTTTTGTCTTTACAGCAATGCCTGCATTATTTCCCATGTGGCATGACTATGGCATGACATTACCTTACTATCCCATACAATATATAATTGCTGGTATTGAGAATTATATATGTGGAATGTGTAAGTTGAGAAATTTTATGTGAACTTGTAAACCAATATTATCTTATTTTTGTAACATATTTAATTATATACCGATCCCACAATTGAATTCGTTAGAGAGATTTAGATTGTTATTATGAAGATTAAAGTGTTATTCTAAACATATAAGTATGGGTCCCTGGTCAAATATGGTCAAATTTCACCAAATTAAATTCCCAATCAAACACAAACAATTTCAGAATATTTTAATTTATGGATCCAAAAATAATTTGAAAATTAAATCCGAAAATTATTGATTACATAGGCCAACAAATTTGTCTAAAGGATTGAACTGCGCTAAATCTGAATTTTATCATTACATCTCTTATTTGAGATATCTTTATCTAAAACTGAAAAAATCGTTTTTTTAACATATGTATACGAGGCATTAAAAAACGCGAGGTTTGTTATGCCGTCTATATTGGTTTTAAAATAAACATTTAACCTTTGTTATATCCACCGTCAAAAAATATAGGATTATATTGATTTGGTCATTCCGTTTGTAACACATCTAAAAATTGGTCGTAGACCCACAAAAGTATAAAATTCTGGGTTCTGGTTAAATTCTAAAACCATATGTTGCAAAGTTTGTTTGCTATTGAAGCTGAGCAATATATTTGCACAAGAAGTTATTTTGAACCTATGAGGGACAGGTTGAGATAAGATCTCCTTCAAAAATTGACTTTAAAGCTTATAGGTTAGGAGGATGTTCATCAGAAACTCAGTTTCCTGAACGTATTTCATAAGAATTTTCCAATCAGTGTTCGTGATAGTTATTATATCCAGAATAATATCACTCCCTAGTTATTTAGATCTAATTTCGGCGAAAGCCTGACAATGGCAATGAAAATGATGCAGAGTTTCACTGTCCTCCCTACATGCTCTACAATCGTCTGAATCCGCACATCTAATGTAGTACAGCTGTGTGCGTAATCCTGTGTATCCACTCAAAATACGTATCATCATACTAACCTCAGACTTCCTTATTTTGAGAAGGCTTCTCGTCTTGCCCTCGTTAGGGTCACCTCATGCGGTCTTTATTCATTATTCATTCATTATTCCAAGAGGCCTTATTGCACCGAATGGTTTTGCGTTCATCAGGTTAACTATCTCGAGCTCCCTTCCCTTTAAAACTATTACATTCGCTCTTTCGTTGCCGACGACCCCCGAGTGGCCAGGTACTAGGGTGATCGATTATTCGACATTTTCCAAAAACCGGTTTTTTAATAGTTCGAATAGATGACATTTAAAAAAAAAACCGGTTGATATTTTTCAAATTCAGAAAAAACCGGTTAACCGGTTTTTCATTATAAATAAAAAAATATATTTTAATTTGAAAAACTTAATGTGATTAATGTGAAATGATTTTTAACAGTTTAAAAGATTATCCCCCTTATTCACAAACAAAATTTTTATTTTATAAACAGTTTAAAAATAAGATTTTATATGGAAATTTTGTTTTATAAACCTTTTATAAAATAAAAATGTTGTTTGTGAATAAGGGGTATATCTTTAGATCTAGTCGTCTGATTTACATTATTTCATTAATATAAAAAAATTAGGGAAAAAGTGGGACACTTCTGTTAAACATAAGGTACTATGTAATCCTAGCTTATTTTAAAAGCCCTGTTTAGGAAATTTGCATAGGCATTCCAACACTTCCATAAAATTTCAGCCGTAAATTAATTATTGTAATTGGAATATAATCTTAAGATTGATAAAATTTTATCAAACAGTTATCAATTTTACAAATATTTTTTTTTAATTAATTAGGAAAATCAAAAAAGTTTAACCAAAGGAGCTGTAGAAAAATATACGCTAGTTCCTCGACTCGAATATTTTTAAAATTTAGTCGGGCTGTATTATTATTTACTTAAAAATTATATTTAAATAATCTTTGAATACAAAGCAAATGAAAGTATTCGAAACCGGTTTTTAAAAAGTGAAAAAACCGGGTTATTCGATATTCGAAAAATCAACATTAAGAAAAAACCGACAAAAACCGGTTTTAAAACCGGTTGAAAAATCGAGTCGATCACCCTACCAGGTACCCATATGATCTGTGGAGAGAGTATTCGGTTAGAGCTTTTATACAATCCAATACGATCTCAGATTATCTTTATCATCTGATAACACCCTAAGTGTCTTCTGCCTGTCGGTAAATAAGGCCTGTGGGAGCCATATTTTTTCTAATCCCATTTACGCATTTTGTTTTGCCTGGAAGCTAGTGTTGTGATTAGATAAACGCTGGTATATTTCTATTTCCAGGGCTTCAGGCCCACTTTGTACGTCAATTTAGAGCCATCCGTGTAGCAACGGATTACTACGGGTAAACGTTTCTAGAGCGTAATACCCGTGTCTTTACTTATACCTTACTAGCATGCACGCTGAACTCCCTGTAGTCATTTAAAATTACACTTTTTTGTCCAAAGAAGGCCTCCAGATTATTGAAGCATAAGCTAAAATCGGTATAATTACACTTTTATAAAGCCAAAGTGTCATAGTGGGACTAAGACCCCATTTCATGCCTATGGTTCTTCTACATAGCGCCCAGCACCGATGTGTCATGTTGATCCTACCTTCTATGCATTATATCCATCTTAATTTCCGATCAACGATTACACCTAAATACTTAACTCTGTCTGTCACCGGTATCTTCTTGCTCAAGAAACATGGATCAGTATATTTAGAAATTTTCCGCCTTCGCCGGGTTAACATTGATCTTCAGCTCTTTTACACAAGTAATTTGTATCCCTTAGAAGTATTACGACATCGTTTGCATAGCAGACAGGTCTAAGTCCTTTTTCGGTTAGGGTTCTTAGGAGACTAACAAAGAGTAAAGGGGACAAAATGCCAACCTGTGATGTACCCCGAAATATTCCTTTCTTGATAGTTATATCGTACATCTCGCAGCTTATCCATGTAGTTGATCCAGTTACGGAGAACATGATCAACATAAAACTGGTCTAAGGATTGGATAAGAGTATCAGTGTGCACGTTATTGAAGGCGCCTTCGATGTCAATTTATGCCCCCAGTGTATCACCAATCGTCCCTTTACATAAGAATGCTGTTTATATTTGAGGTCTTTGTCTGTTTTTAAACATACTATCGACAATCCGTTCCAAGGTTTTAAGTAGGAAGGACGTAAGGTTTATCGGCCGATAGGACGTTACGTGGTAGTGATAAGGATTAATGTACATATGTATAAGTATGTACTACTCATTTATCTACATATTTTCCAGGTGCTGTATGTTTCGATGGGATTTTCATTATAATAGTGGTTCATTGTTCAGCATTATTTGAAGTCCTTCATAAACTCTTAGAACATGCCACCAATGAGGAAATACCACAAACCGAAAGAGTTAAATATTTACTCTGCTGTGTGCGTTTGCATGGACGAATTTACAGGTAGAATTTGAAATGATTTTTAACTTATTTCTATTCAAAATTTAACAAAACTCATGTTATATTTTCCGTTCAAAAGATATTATGAAAAAATCAACAGTATGTATCGCAATCCCAGTTTGGCTCAATGTCTCTTGAGTATGTTGGTTTTATGTGTAGTTATGTTTATGGCCAATGTTGGCCTGGAACAGGATATAACATTGTTCTTTAAAATGTTGTGTTTCTTGGGTGCTGCTGGTTTTCAAATTGTTATTTACTGTTATAATGGTCAGAAAATTATAACGGAGGTTTGTGACATTTACCTTTAGAAATTGCATTTAACAATTATTTTAATAATCTTTTAACAGAGTGAGAAAACTCCTTCACTTTGGTATATCAATTCCTGGTATAATGAATCTAAACAATTTCGTTATATAATAAATATGATGATTTTGAGAACTAATCGTACGTTATATTTACAAGTATCGGGTTTTACTACCATGTCTCATATGACTTTGCTATCGGTAATACTTTGTCGTAATAATTGGGTTTAAAAAAGAATTATTTACTTTAATTTATATTTATTACAGATTGTTCAGACAAGTGGTTCGTATTTTCTATTGTTGAGAAATCTTAGTGGCATGGACTAAAAAGAGAATTCAATATTATTTTAATTAAATTAATAGTATAATAGTATAACACAAATAATGATTATATTAATATTTATTGCAAGCACGGTTTAACCAGCACTGCTTTTATTGTTTTAATAGTAGAAAAATTAACACCTCTAATAAAAATTACATATTTTCCTTAATTACTTTTTTACATTTACAAACATTTGTTATTAATTGCATAGCTAAGGTAACGACAAACAACAACGACTCTCTGGGGCAGGACAAAAAGGAGGAAGTTGCAGATGTTCCAGAATTAATATTTAGTTAATCCCATGGAACTTCAGGGAACTGAATATTGAGAAAAAGTCAAGAAGATAATAATTTAATTTTGGAGTGTGTGTGTTAAAACTCGCCATAATTCTAATGCAGGTACCGGCGTAATTTACTGTGCGGTCCTCTGACTCCTCCACCTCTAGGTATATGAGTTTTGTTTAAGAAACAATCGGTTTCTTTAAAATAACAGATTAGTGCTTGATTTTAAAATTCTACTCAATATTGTATATGCTAAAACGGAAATAATGTCGATAATACAGTTTTGATAATACTGTTATCCGTAAGGTAATGTAGTTATTATTTATAGTTTTTCAACGCCGTTAAAAATTTTCCTACAACTACGATCTCTTCTTAACATCTGTTTTGTTTTGATAATTTTTTGCATACTTTTTACAAAACAAATAAATTAAAATAATATAAATTACAAAAATATAACTTTGTTAAGTTCTTTCTACCATAAATATATACATATAATCTTTATAAACATTAATATTCAACAATAAAAATGAACAAAGAATTGTTACAACCAGTAAATGCAACGAATCCTATAGTTTTTCTAGACATTAACATTGGCCAGGAATTTGGTAATTATTTTGATATGACCTAGAAATTTCTGTTTATTTACATAAAATTATTTGTAAACAATTTTAGCCGGCCGTATTATAATAGAATTACGCAAAGATGTAGTTCCTAAGACGGCTGAAAACTTTCGTGCTCTGTGTACCGGTGAAAAAGGTTTGGGCACTTTGGGAAAGCCATTGCATTATAAGGGAGTGCGCTTTCATAAAGTCACTCGGGTGTATGTGGCACAAAGTGGTGATGTGGTAAACAATGATGGCTCTTGTGGAGAAAGTATATATGGTCCAATATTTGAAGATGAAAATTTTGTATTAGAGGTAAGTTATTAATATTTGTAAACAAAGCAACCATTAAAATTATTAATACATTTTAGCATTCCGATGAGGGCTGTGTTAGTATGGCCAACTATGGTCAGCCCAATACAAATAACTCACAATTCATAATCTCTTCGGTGGCATGTGACAATCTAAATGGAACAAATGTGGTTGTGGGAAAAGTACTAAGAGGTTTGGGTATTATAGGTGATATGGAACAGAATACCAGCGATGATGGAATACCTAGTGAGGTAATGGTCTCTTCCTATAAACTCAATTTCCATGTATGTTTCCTAATTTTAAGTATGCATTAGGAAATTGTTATAGTTAATTGTGGTGAAATTGCACCAGGAGAAGATTGGGGTTATAATGATGCTGATGAAACCGAAGAGTGGCTGCCACCTTATCCTCAAGACTGGGAAGATAAAATGAAAGATTTTGCGGTAATATTCTCAAATTTAAAATATTTTTATTTATACTCATTACTTTATCTTTTAACAGATTGAAGAATTATTACAATTATTAACAAAAATACGTAATGCTGGCAATTATTACTTTACCCGGGAAAAATTCTATGAAGCAAGACGTAAATACCGCAAGGCTAATCGGTATTATAATCTTTTGCGTAAACGTTATGATTGGCAAGAACTAGCTCACATTGAGTGTTCCGATGATGATCTCAGAAAATTAGATCAATTCTCTGTGGTGAATAATGTCAATATGGCTGCAGTTGAATTGAAATTGAATAATTACGCCAATGCTAAATATTGTTGTACGGAAGCTTTACGTCTTGATAACAACTGCAGTAAGGCATACTTTAGACGCGGTCAAGCACAAATAGCCCTTAAGAACTATGAAGATGCCATCAGTGATTTGAAAAGGGCTCATGAATTTATACCCGATAATAAACACATTCTGAATGAACTTAATCGTGGCAAACAGTTGTTGGCGGAATACAATCGCCATCAAATGAAAAAATTAAAAACTCTTTTCAACTAAATTTTTTCCAGGATGCATCATGATTTTTTTCAAATGAAACTAAATCTCAGGGGTTTTTCATCCAAATACTGAAATGGTTAAAAAGCTTAAAGTTTTAAATGAAATGAATTTATATTTATCTTCACATGAAAAACAGTTATTTTCAAAAATTGCTAATAAGAAATATATCTATCTCTCTTTATTATTATGCTATTTCGTTGTAATTGTACTTGTTCATATTTTTAAGCATATTATACAGGCCAACAAATATTTAGCACAGAGGCCAAGGTATACTTTTCTAACATCAGGTTTTTCAAATATGGTTTGATGAAGTTTTAAAAAATCTCTATTTTTGGCCATATTTAAGACGATTTAACAATATTTGTTATGTCATCTGAAAGTCCAATTTTTTAAATAAAGGTTTAAGTTCTTTTTTCCTCGAGATAACTTATTTTAGAAAATTATATTTTGGTCTCTGGATTTTGCCGTTTCTCAAATCTTGTTGGCCTATGTTTTTTATTTGTTATGATAAAAAATAGATGTTGTTTATATCAGTTTAAATAATTATGTTTTATACGTGTATAAGATTATATTCTAATAAAAATGTTAATATATTTCTGAAATTTACTTAAAATAAATATGTATCTAAATAATATTTATTTTATTTAATGTTAAAAGTTTTAACTTAAAATAAACTCTGTGTGATTTGGTTCCAGGGCATTTATATACATAAATTAGAAATATCACAAACTTTTTAACAAATTTATCATATAAAGTGAATGGTCTAAAAAGTATATGCTGAGGCGATAACATGTGTTGATGAAATTACAGGTGTGTTTTCTATACACGAGCATATTAGGCTCATTAATTTATAGCGAATTATTTATTTGTTCTGCAATCAAGGTGTGATACATGCATTCTTATCACAAATATTCATAAATATGTTCATAGTTAAAACTTTAAATCATCAATCATTTAAATTTTTTTTCAAATTTTGTTTGTTAGCATATCAAGTTTTGCGCCAGCTAATGAACCAACCACAATAAACATTAGTAAGTACAATTTTCCATATGACATTAGGGAATTTTTACGCATTCCTGCTTTTACTAATATTTACACAAAATACCAGCAGCAAGTGGTATTGATTACAAATGTAAAGTGTATGTATGAATGTTACAATAGATATTTTTTTGAATTTAACTTTGGGCTTTAATGTGAGTTTATTAAGTACATATGTATACATATGGGCAATTTCGTGTCAAGTGACTCAACTTTTAAAATCGATGTCTTCCGATTTGGATGAAATTTGCACCAAGGTGAGTACTGAACTCCTTTGGACAGTTTTTGCTAGGACCAATAGGTGAAAAGTTACATTCATTTGAATAAAACCCTGTATGACCAAAATTTCCAACTTTGACCCTTGGGTCACTTGAAAAGGTAAACCACGACTGAAAAAATAAAACCCTTATTTTTGAAAATTTTGTATATGATCTTTTATAGCACCAAAAACGAAGACTGTTGAAAATTTTTGAAATCGGTCTATTTTTGCACCTCGCCGCCATGCAAACGGAACCGAAAATATCACTTTTTAGCTCATATTTCAGTTAACTATAATACCATCCCTTCAAAAATCGGCAGATCTAAAATGTTTATAATCCTAAACCTTTATGGCGAATTTCATAACGATTGGACCTCATTTGACCCTAGTTCCATTCAAAGTTTAATTTCAGAAAAACACTTAAACGTCCTTAACTCACCTCTAATCACTAGTATTATGATCAAATTTGGCACAAATAGTTTTATATGAATTAAAATCATACTCTAGAATTTTATGAGGATCGGTCCATATTTGACCCGAGTCGCCATATAACTCCAGTTTTTTATTTTAATCTATAAATTGCTTAAACATGTATATAGGTCGACCATGTCCGACTGCACTTTCCTACTCCTTTTGATTTGTTGAAGTGTGTGTATGCATATATTTCCAAAATATATATTTTATAACCTAAAAAAAAAATCAGGAGAAAAATCTGTCACATACGATGAGTCAAGTAAGATATTTAAAAATGTTCATTATAAAATTGTATTAATTTTTTTTTATTATTTAAAAATTATGGATTACTAATGAAAGATATGTCCAATAGTGAAAGAAATAAAAAGAAAAGATACACCTACAGAATTCGCAGATTTTCGTAAAAGATGGGGGGTATATTGATTTTGTCATTCCGTTTGTAACACATCGAAATATTGGTTATAGACCCACAAAAGTAAATAATCTGGGTTCTTATTAAATTCTAAGACGATCTAACCATGTCTGTCCGTCCGTCTGTCTGTCTGTTGAAAGCACGATAGAGTCCGAACGGAACGAGATAGAGTATTGAAATTTTCAAATCCTCTATTCTCTATAGATAAGGTTTGTTTTGTATTAAAAATTACTGGTTTAAAAATACGAGTATAGTGATGAAATTCTACACACATAAGTTTCAATGTAGCCAAAATCTCTCTATCAAACTTTATGTGGATCGGTCCATAATTGAGCCTACTCCCCATATAAGGTGTACTTCAAAAAATTACTTAAACGATCATTACTGGCTTAAAAATACCAGAAAAGCAATGAAATTCGACACACATATTTTTTATACGAGTTAAAACCTCTCTACCAAATGTATTGGGGATCGGTCCATAAGAAAATTACTTTAACGATCTTTGCTGACTTAAAAATACGTGAACAGTTACGAAATTTTATATGTATGTATAAGAAACATTTATAGGAACGTAAATCTCCTACCGAATTTCATGCGGAAAGTGTCGGAAGTGATATTCGATGTAAAGATGTTTTGTATGAACCAAAATTGGTCTAAAAATGTTTATGAAAAACGGTCAATTATTAACCCTATCTCTCATACAAGGTGCTCTTCAGTTAATTTGATGAGTAATATTACCCTGATGTTTATAGGGGAGCATTGCTTTTAAGGCATACGGTTTGATGGTGGGTATATGAGACTCGGCACAGCCGAATATAACATAACTTGTTAGTTTTGTATTTTAAATTTTGGTGGTATCTATTATAGGCCTGCACAAGACAACAATTTGTTAAAAAATGTCGTGTGCGCCATCATTACATAAGAGAGAATCAAATAAATCCAAGATTAAAACCCAGAAACTGAAATATAATGTTTACCTAATTACAAAACAGGTTTTCGAGCGGATTAAAAAAATAAGGCACCGACAGAGATTAACATAATGAGGGACTATATACAATAACCACTATTTCTCATTTTTCATGAAAATAAAACTTTAATGGCTAAATACTCATAAAAAAGTCCCTTTCAGGAATTGAATGTCAATAATTCACTTATAAACACTAGTATCACGATAAAATTCGACATAAATAACTTTAATGTGAACGTAAATCCATCTACCAACATTTATAAGGAAAGGTCCTTTGCCCCCGTATAGCACCTCTTTCAGAAAATCAATTTTTTGTCAACATATTGTTTAAATATTTCGAAATTAAGGCAAAAAACAACTGGCTTTATTATTAAAAATAATCTACTTTATTTACAAACTATTCACTAGTATGGGGTATGTAGTATGGGTCAGCCATGCCCGACTATACATTCTTACTTGTTTAATTTTATTGCCGTGTTTAACTATATAATATAGATTTTGGGCTAAAACAACTGCTTTTGGAACAATTTTCTTTTACTCAATTAAACAATGAAAATTTTAAATTCTAATTAAGATATTGTCCTCGAAAAATATTGTAGAAGCAATATATAAAAATCTCCATGATTAGCGAAATAAACAGTCTTTTGCTCTCCTGAAAACTTGTGTTATTTTAGATACATAGGGACTATTTAGTATAGTCCGTCGATATGTATTTATCCACTGTGAGAAAGCAAATAGGGCGACATCGGTTGATATGGTTAAATCTAAGATTGTGTTGGACTAAATATTCTTCTAAAAGTAAGCTTTGCATCATATGGGTACCAGGATACTCGGGAATAATGTGCAACGAAAGACCGAATATACTTTCAACAAGGGCTGAATTAAAAACATAGGGGAGATAATCCCATACTGCCACTTGGTATAATGAAAGGTATTAAAGAGAGCAGGGCGATTAGTATGACGGTACAGGATTACGGACATAACTATATAAAATTGGACGAGCGAATTCGGGCATGTGTGGAATAAGACAGTAAAACTCCATAACACATTCCTCGTCATTCCCAAGTACAAATTAAATTTCAAGAAAGCCATGAGGTACTTTTCAAAAGAATAATGAGTTAAAGAATATGCTCACCAGCCTTTCGGGAAAGATCTAATTCACTTGTTACTAAGGGCGGTGAATTTTTAGAAGTTAACCGGACAGAAGTTGTCATAAACAAAAGAATTCCAACTACATGGAATAATGATACAAAGGACCACGAAAGTCTTATGGTGTAACCCAAATAAAAGGAGAACAAAAAGTATCCTTAGTACGAGGAAATCGGAGGTTATGCAAAAATACGACAGTAATTCGCTAAATCTGATTTAGCGAATTGACGAATACAGAGCATGTTCTGAAAAAAGTGAAACAAACACTGCAATACTATATCTGACATTGCCAAGCCTTTAACGAAATAATATCCAAACTTTTAAAGCGATATTATACCGGATATAATAATACAAATTCAATGTAAAGGAGCGCGTTCGCTTCCTCCACTACAAGCTAACGTAGCCATATTAAAATGGAAACATAAAATGAATGGTCGGCTACGTCCATAATGTTTAACATGTTTTTCTTTGTTTGAAGTAGCAGGTTTTTACAAAAATTAATTATTTATTAAATCTTTTTTTGGAATCTTAATTTAAGTTACAATTTGTAACCAACATAGGTTGCTAAGCAGTAAGTTCTAGCACATTAAACTTAGTTATCTTGTAAAGTACAGAGATGATAAAAAAATTAAAGATTTAAAAAAGAAACTGAAACAATAAAAACATTTTACTAAAATACACACATCTTACTTATTTTCATTTCTTTAATGCCAAAATTCTCAGACATAATAAAATTAAGTAAGTAGTCTAAGAGGCTATAGTAAACTTGAACAAATCTTAGCAAAAAGATAAACAAAACAATTGTTTACGTAGCAAAAGTTTGTTATCACTTAAATCCTTTCAATGAATCTTTTTATTATACATAGAAATCTATTATATTAAATACCAAATATTGTACTTTGATCCAAATTTGCAAAAATTCAATATTTATTTGCTACAAAGTTTTTATATAACATGAACTTTAAATAATTCTCTAAATAGATACATATTTGTTGCATTGAAAAGTTAGCAATAAATTTATTTAAATCTATTATTTACTAAAGGAATTGAAAATAAATATTAACTCAATATTAAATCCAACAAACCACTTGTCATTAAAAAAAAAAATCAATATAAAGCACAATATTGCAAATAGTTTCAGGAAAAAGGAAAGAAAATAGAAAACAAGTTAGAGTGCTATATTCGGCTGTGCCGAATCTTAAATACCCTCCACCAGCAAGCTATTTTTAATTAAAACCCATTTAACTATCTAATTTTTAGATAACTTGGCAAAATTGTTGTTTCCGTATTGATATGCATATGTCAATCTAATTTTAATTACGTCCAGAAA